CGATGGGCTGAATTGCACAAAACGCATGATCGCACCGGCTAGTCTGGTGCACGTTGCTATTTATTAATGCTTCTAACTGGTTAATACACTGCGACGTTACATCTGTTTCCGATAGCGGATTCGACACAGCACTGCACTTCCTTCCTTCCACCTATGCGGCATTTCTGAAATTAATTTCAGGCGTGAACTTCTGGCGTACCTCAAAGGTGAGCGTGAACAACCGCCACAAACTGTGGATTTACTTGCTCCCATTCCGGCACCAATTCCGATCTCGCGGCTCATTGATCAAAATGAACCGGACACGAAAAAAGCTCGCTATGATGGCGAAGGAAACAGGTTTGTTCTGCTCCGTAAAGTGCGCGTCAGTGGTACCAGGATTTTGCTAGGAGAAAGAGACGGAACAAGTTCATCGGGTAATCTGAAACGAATCTTTTTAAATATTTCGGTGAACGTTGAACCCAGAACATCTTTGGTTGCTCCTCACTGTGCTTTTTTCAGACAGCGAATCCAAAATCTGCTGAAAGGTGCGGTGACGGGAAGCACTAAAAGTGCAGAAACAGAAGGTGTAAGGGATCTGAGTGACAAACTGACTGCTGACAAAATTGCGGCGCTCAAGAATAAACGGAAAAAGAATATGGCTAGAAATACAATCAAATCAGTGGACGATCGGTAAGTTTCGAACTCCATAAGATTTTTTCGTGGACTAACATCAAAGGCCACAGAAATTGGCTGGTATCCGTTGCAGTTGGAAAGAGGCTCCCGGATTGACCAGCATAACTTCTGGTAGCTTGCGGTTCACTGCCGCCTGCTGTCAATCGTTGCATGCCCAGGACAAATTCTTGCTTGGTCCTTTCCGTCAGCTGACCAGGCTATTTGTCACTTCCATTTTATTGTTAATTTTGCAAGCGAGCGGTTTCCGGCTGGCCAAGTTTCTGTAAACTGTCCTAGAAAGAACTTGAGTTTTTCAGTAGCCAATACTGTTCAGGTTGGGCAACCATATGGATTTTGATGTGCCAGAGGTTACTGCTGATGCACTTGACCGTGAACTGAAGAGCAAAGAACGAGTGTGGAGGAATCGGACTACTATCATGGAAGCAGCCTCGAAAGAGTTCACGCCGATCCTTTCAATTTTACACAGCTTCAGAGTATCTGCTTTGAGGAGTATTCTAATTTTTTATTGGCTTTTATTGCACTTTTTTATGCTTTGCAGCCCTCTGTTAGAGAGTGAATTCTTCGTTGCTCCTTCTGCTGTAAACTCGGGGAATTTTGGCTTATCCAGGAACAGTGCCTATTGTCCTGAGGTCATGCCGGTGCGCTCTGTTTGCGGGACTGTCAATGCGCGAAGCTTTGCCTACTAATATTCATCTCCCTTTATTTCTAATAAAATTAACACTGCTGAATTTTTAAGCTCCGCGACGAGGCAGCACAACGCCAGAAGTCAGCGGTACCACCGTCAAGAACGGCAGTGGGTGATCGCGGCAAAACACAGCCTATCGGCTACTCACGTTACGATCAGGAGAGATTCAACAAGGATCAGACTGCTGGTTTCAACATCGAAACTGGGCTTACTTTCCAAGGTAACTTTGAAAAATTCTAGAAGTTTAGTACCATGTGAAATAGAAATGTTCGGCATGAGCAGTCGTAATACACTGCAACGCTGCTTCGCACCTTCGTTGCGGCTTTGCTCGTGCTTCTGTTCTGCTCAGCTCTGAGCCTGCATGTGGCAGGCCTTCAGATGGTCTCTCCGATTTTACTTGTGGCCTTCGCAAGCCGCGCGAGTGCCATTCAGTAATCCGCTTGTTCTGCTCTATGGTTATTTGAAGTAGGATTCTTCAGTGCGTCAGTAATATTATTTGAATTGAGCCGGCTGCAAAAGTCAGGTCAGTACCGCTAGTGCATGCCCTCCGTGCGCTTTTTAGAAATGTTAAAAATTTGCGTCGCAGACTTTGTCTTCCCCTTTGGTTTTTCTTTCACGCTTCTCTCTTCGTTCTCCGCACGTTCTTATCTTTTGCCTTTATCCCTATTTTTCTTCTTTTTCTCCTCCTTTATCTTCTTGTCCGTTTCTGTCCAATCTATACCTTATTCGCTTCGGATCTGTGAAGTGGAGCTCTGCAAATTAAGGCACGAAGCACTATATTTTTTCTAAGGCTGTTCTACTTGCACGGGCATGGCAAACAAACAGTAACATTAGGAATGTATGAAACGAATGTTTGGCTCAGCTGCATTACCGCCGCTTCACATCCCCTTTAGCACCTAGCAAGCTAGCAATGACGCGCATTTTGCTGTCATGAAGCAGCTGGAGCCCCAGTGCTAATGGGGAAGGGAGAGGGGCGGGGGAGGGGGTCAGTTGTCATCGGCGAATTGCGCTCAGAAAGGGATGCAGAATTTTTGAAATGTAAAATAATTTGATCCAGGCACATCGATAATGTCCGTCTCGGGAGCAAAGCCAATGGTTGCCATCGAGCCATCAGCACCAACCAGAGCAATGGTACTTGGTGCAGACAACACAGCACCACGATATCAGAAGAGGCAATCGCGGACGCCGATCATAATCATTCCAGCAGCAGGCACATCGCTCATCACGATGTTCAATGTCCGAGACATACTGCAAGTACTGCTTTCCTGATTGTATTGTTTCATATTTTCA